GGTGGGTGTTGGGCTCCACCGCTTGCCTTTTCATTCAGTTTGTGTATAGCTGGCTTTCTGACTGAATTAAAGACCAAGGCAAGTGCACAATGGCCTCGTGGCTGGAGGCCCAGCACCAGGGCCAAGTCGGGGTGCTCCTCTGTTCATTTCTCCTTCCATCTCATGTACCAGTGGTGTGTGTTTTAGATTTCTATGATAATGCAATTTGATAATGTTTTGACTAAAAGTTTAGAATACACTGATACGAGATGTATATACGTCAGCTGCTTTTAAAGGGTCTTCTGTGTTTGAGGAGTAGTGAAGTGGCTGCGAGGAGTCCAGGGAGGGGTGACAGACGCGTTGGCTCAGAGGCAAGATCTCAAGGTTTCTGCTCCAGCCGCACCCTGTGCCAGGCTCTCCCCAGGGGAGAGCGGAGCCTCAGCCTCCGCATTTCTGGTCCACAGCCTCTGTCTTACTGACAAGGAGGCAGGAGCTGCCAGTGATTGGTATTCGCCTCACGTCATGCAAGAAACCTGTTTGCTGCTAATGAAGTTCATGTGTTATGCTCATACGGCTAACGCGTAGATTTTAAGATGAAATACACTGAAAATTTTAATGTGAAACAAGATTTGCGCTTTTTATTTCTGTTTCACCATATAGTTGGTGAATTGCATCTATGATTTGCTGAACCATTTGTAATAGCAGCAGCAGACAATCCTGGCAAGATATTTGTAAAACATGGTAAAATGACCTTGATGATGCACAAAGTTCTCTGAAGGATAAGAAAGTAATTTAAACACAACAGCTGCCACGCCACAATGCAAAGATTGAGCACCTTTTTAAAAAGTGATTTTTCTAGTTACTTGTTTTACTTTTTATACTTGATTTATTTTACTTATTTTTTTGTTTGTTTGTGGTACCGGGGATTGAAGTCAGGACCCTGAACTTGCCAGTGAAACGCTTATTCTACTGAGCTATCTCCCCGGCCCACTATACCCATGATTTAATGACTCTGATTTATTATGTTTAATAGCGATTCTGTGAAACACCGTTTCTTTCCAGCTCTTTTTTGGAGGAAGGCTTTCATTGTACTGGTAAATGCATTAGGCTAAAAAGACCAATAGTACTTTCAGGGGGGCTAAATTACTGAAGGTCATGTTCTGATTTTCCAAATTGGGCAGGTAGAGAGATGCCTGTCACCTTTTCATATTCTGCGTATATGTATGTTGTATTACATCAATATGTAGCTTGTATTTTATAAAGTTTTGCCTTTTAGGGTCTTCATTCCAGCCACTTTAACTCAATTCTGTGTTCTTGGCTATAAAACATAGAAATACCTCTTTACACATTTAAGACATTTTTATAGCTAAAACTGTACAGAGAAATACTGCATCTTTAAATGTAAATGTATGAGAATAAATGAGGCTGACTTTGCCATGTTTTCATCAAGTAATTATGGAAATTTTCACATGCTATGGTGGCCTTGGGTGCACTGGGCTAGAAACATTGTGGTTCTCACCCTGGAAGATAAGGTAGCAGGTCGGAGGAGAGGAGAACGATTACCACCTCTGACAGGCTGGCAAGGGAAGCAGGACCAGCGCAGGACCCAGGCAGGCCTCCAGGACAGCCCTGGAGGAGGGGGCCCTCACTACTTAGGGCAGCGGGAAGTTCTCCTGCATCTCACAGACCCGGAGGTGAAAGCCGCGTGGATTAGAAACTGGAGGCAGGCACTGGTGGCTGCCCCTTGGGGGCTAAGCAGGGCCCAGGTCGGGACACCCCCTGGTGGCCGCCCTAATGGGGTTCAGATTTTACTTCAAGTGCATCAGGAAGCTATTGGAAGAAGGTAAGAGAAAGGGACAATGCCGGGGTGGCAGCTGCAGTCCTGCTTGGGAAGGGACATTGCTACTGACTGCATGAGGAAGGGGCAGAGATGAGGACCAAGTTTGGGGTGAAGGGCTCCAGGGCTCCCTATGAGTCTTGGGGGCAGTAGAACTTGGCCTGGGTGCCCTGAACCCAAGTCTGAGCTAAGGAGAGGATGGGGCCTCCGAGTGGCAGTAGGATTCAGACCCTGGAGAGTTGTGTCGTTGGCCAGGGAGAAGATAGGCGAAAGGAAGGAAAGCCAGCCCAGAGCTGGGTTTGCTGTCATTTGGCTGCAGGTCGATGCTGGGTAGTAGACATGTGTAAGGCATGAAAGTGATTAAGACACATGGTACATGTTTGCATTGTTAAATACTGTAGTAAAAACCACATTGTCATGAACTCTCAGAAGCCTCCTGTTATGGGTCAGCTTAGCACAGGAACCAGATCAAAATCCAAATTGGGATTTAAAACAGCCTTTATTACTGAGCTCAGGACCAGCAGTCAGTTCTCACACAGGAGAAGATAGGGACCCCTAGCCCAGGCAGCAAGGAGTTTTTAAAGCAAAAAATCACATGATGAAGGGGTCTTTCACAGTTCAGCGATGTGTGTAACCTGCCTGTGTGGGGGCTTGTTGAGCAAGCTGTTTTTACAAGATACATCCTAAGCTGACTATGTTTACAGGAATTAGATTAGGGAGGGGAGGGAGACAGTTACTCATTACTAAACAACCTTAAGTAGAGGGCGAGAACACATTCCTTAGAGTAGATAACAGGAAGCATAAGGGAACCTAATAGTTTTCCACAGTTATAGTGCAAAATCCAGTTGACCCATAACACCTCCCCTTGCTTTGAACACCCTTATCCCATCATTCCTGCCACTGTTGGAGGCTGTCCTGGGAGTCCTCTTTCATGAGTGTCTTCACAAGGTATGATTAAAAAGAGATAAAACAACAACCCGTGAATGCTGCTGCCAAGGCCATGCAGCCGAAAGACAGGCCTGCGTGTGTTCTGGGGAGCACATTCTCCGCTTGCTCACAACCAGAAGGATTTCCAGCCTGGCAAGAACAAGGGGTTCAGTGTATTCTGAGGGAATGTACCAAGGGGCATCCCGGAAGTGTCGTCTACTGTAACAGCTTTTTTTTTTTCTTCTGTAAGATGTTCAGGGTCTCACTAATAGATCGGACTCCTGTTTACGTTCTCCTAAGAGCTGGAATTACAGGCGCATGCCACCACACCCAGTCTCAATTGCTGTCTCAGCGCGCCCTGGGGTTGAAGCTGGCACGGCAGGCCCAGGGATCGAACCCCTTGCCCCTGCCCCAGCTTGCAGGCACTTTAATCCACTGGGCTATTTGGCCGCCCCTTGCAACAGCTTTCTTAACATGAACTTTCACCATACTTTGTGAATGAGAATGAGTAACCCAAGAGCCAGGGAGAGCCGCGAGTAAGGTGTGTTCAGAATCCCAAGACAGAGACGTGGGCTGACGGCAGAATCTCATCCCTGGCTGGGCTGGTGAAGGGTGCAAGAGGGGGAAGAGTGGGAGATCTGTCCATCTCAGAGTTGGCCTAACAGAACCTGGGAGTGGCAGAGGAGAGAAGCGAGGTCAGCAGAGTTTTAAGCGTCTTGCATGTGGTCCTCAGTACCTGTTAAATTGAACTGGCTTCAAATTGATCAGCCCCCTTCCCCAAGCTGAAATTCAGCTGTAGGCTTTGAATGACACCTACAAATGACATCTCCCTGGCGTGCTCCCTGCAGCCCTATGGACACACCAAGAAAATGAATGTTTACTTTCTAAATTTGCATGAAAGTCCAGAATGAAACATAAGAAGAAAAGAAGCAAACGTACCAGTTTTATTTGGATTGTGCTCCCTGGAGTTTGCACAATATTTAGACATGCTTTGGGCCTCTCCGCACATGCCAGGCTGATGTTTCTTTTATTCGGAAGGAGAAGTAGCGGACACTGAAAGCAGTGCCCTTCCTAGGAAGCACTGGGGTGGCATTGGTGCCTGTTGGTGACGTCCCCTACTCTTCAAGTCGTCAAGCTCTTTCTGCTGTGTCGCAAGGACAGGCACGGAATGAGGACTTGCTGTAGTTACCAGCTTTACTTTGCGTAATTCCATATTCTGTCAGTGAGTGCAATGTTTTCTTACATGTTACACGAGATACTTTTGCTGTAAAATAGGGCAGTCATATGACATTTGTTTTTTGAGGTGTTCACCACACATGCAAAAGATATGACTTAGAATGTCACCTTGTCAACTTGGCATCAGAGCTGTCCTAGTCTGGCACAAAAATCTGTTTTGAAACACAGTGTCCTGTGTAATAGAGAAAAAGTAGTAGCAAGCAGGCAGTTCTTAGGGTGCAAACCTGCAGGGGCTTCACGACAGCGTGTGCACCCCAGGGCACCGGCGCCTGTCAGGACCAGCACACCACCGTGCTTGCGTGTGAGGCCTGTAGGAGGCGGGGCTTGCGTGTGAGCTCTGTTTGTAGGAGGCGGGGCCTGCCGCGGGATAGCGCACTGGAAGCTTTGTTAGAACACCTTTTGGGATCTGCAACATACTCATCTGTAGTGTTCAGGAAAGCAGGAGGAAGCCAGGGAGCAGATGAGAATTAATTTTGGAGCAAGAGGAGGAAGGTTGCTACGCAGGGACTCGCAGGCATGGCCAGTGCTTGCCACGCCCCGCAAGAAGCCACTGCTGCAGTTGTGGTTCCGAATTCAAAAGGAAAAAGGAGAATTAGAAGATAGCAGATGAGTGAAGCGTTGGTTCCTAGAGGAGGCCATAGATGCAGGGGTGAAAAGAAGAAGAGACAGAGGAAGGTGGAGAGGAGTATGCACCACTATGCTTTTCTCGCGTGCCCCAGGTATTTACTCATGTACGTGCATGGAAAATTCATGTTCATGAAATTAAACAAGTCATTTAATTATTGTGACATTTTGGAAATGTCCTTCTGTGGCAAAACCCCAGTAGACATCAGGTGTAATCACGACAAATCGAGTATCGCCCACTGCTGGTACCCCCCCCTTGCGTGTACCCCAGCGGGTCACATCCGGGTGCCGGGTCAGTGCTGCTGGGCTCCCTGGGTCACTAAGGGCAGCCCCCACCCCCATCCCCAGAGGTCGTTGCACTCGTGACACCAGCTCTGTCCTTGTTTTCTGCTTCCAGAACAATCAACCATGACGACCGAATCAGGATCAGACTCAGAATCCAAGCCGGAGCAGGAGGCCGCGCCCCAGGAGGCAGCAGGGGCGCAGGGCGCGGGGGCGCAGGGCACAGAGCCCCAGGCACTGGAGCAGCTCGAGGGTGCTGCGGCGCACAGCACCCCGGTGCACAGAGAGGTGAGCATCCGTGGGGGGTTCAGGGCGCCCGAGCTGGTGCGGCTTAGACTCAGAGCTCTGGGGCAGCTCAGGGGGCCTATCGTCTGGTCAGAGGAGACCTCGTGGGATTTGGGGGCTTCGCAGCACATGACACTCTGCAGCCTTGCCTGGCGAGTCCTTCGTGTAAGATGTCTAAACTGACCCCTAAATCTGGACCAGAGGTGCTTGGGCCCGTCCGGGTTTGCTGGAAGGGCAGACGGCATCCTCACAGTTTAAGTCTGCTTCTGGCTCTTGCTTGATTGGAATAAGGATTGGGGACAGATTTGTTTTTCTCAGGCATTGCTCTGATCCTAGTATTACCGTCTACTGTTAGTGGATGTTCAAGTAGGTCTCTGCCCCGTGCACACATCTTTATTTTCAGCTCTATTTTCCATGCATTTTTAGTTGTCAAAGTTTTCACTCAAAGGACTAGGATAGAAGGCATTGGTAAAGCACTCGATAAGTGCGTGGGAGGCCCTGGGCTGCCTTCCCAGCCTCACCTGCACAACGGCAGTTGTTTTAAAAATAAATGATAGTTTATGTCCAGGCCTTGAGAGAATCCGTGCTGAAATCTCTTTTGTCTTAAAACTTCAAAATAGGTATATGCAACATATATATTCTTCCCCCTTCTGTCTTTGTTTTCTCTTTTCCCTCATCCCCATTGTTCTTTCCTTTCTAGCAGTGTCTTTCCCTTTCACAGTGTCTATTGTACCTTTTGAATTTCATTTACTCTTCCAGGCTCTCACACTGGGAGACAATACAATACTAAGACAGTTGTCTTGATTGCTATTGGTTCGTTGAAAGGAACAATTAAGGCTTAATGTTTGATCAATTTTGCATGCCTGTGTATTTCCTATCATCTTGCTTTGAAATTCTGTATCATTTTTCATGGTTTTTTTTTTTCCTAATTTTTAGTTTCTTTTTTAAAAAAAATTGAAAAGCACAAAGACCTCGAGGTAGGAGCCAGCGTGCTTCAGAGCGCTAACTCATACTGCAGAAACCCGAATCCCTAGGGCAGCTGGTCGCTCGTGGCTGGACAGTGTTGCGAAGAGCCAGAACTTCTAGGAGATACTGAGAAAAGAGACGTGAAGTCAGCCGAGTGATGCAAAGCCCGGGAAGCCCCGCCGCGGGGAGGGGCACCTGCTCCTCGAGCTCGAGGGACCAGAGGACTTTCTTTCTTTGCCCACAGCACGTGCAGCTTCTGCCCGTTGACGGTGTGAGCCGCCTACAGCTCCACTTCCTCAGTGGCTGCTCTGAGCTCCTCCAGCATTTTGTGTTGCAGGCTGAGGCAGCTGGCCTGGCCTGGCCAACAAAATCTAAAGGTCTGATGCTGGTGTTGTTTTTCTGTACTTTTTTCTTTTTGTGAGGTAGTGACTGCTCTGTTTCATTGTGTTTTCTTTAATCTTCAGTTACTTTTCTCATTCTCTGCCATTAATTCTGAAAGGACTGAAACGCACGCGACATGACAGAAAAGCATGTGCCGGTAGACGTGCTGCGTGCACAGTGCTGGCTCTTAGCAACGGGGCACGGGGAAGCCCAGCGTTCGGCACTTCTGTCACCTGTGAGCACCACAACGCTGCACGCTAGATGCAGCACACACTACGTGACATAAGCCAGCGCCCTCTCCTCCTAGGACTGCTGCGCAGAGAGAGCTACGTGAGATTAGGTGCAAGCCGACAGACACGACCCTGAGTCAGGGTAGCCCCAACCCTAACTGTAAGCATACAGGAGTACTGCTTTGGGGGACTGGCTGATAGCAAGCAGCTTTTATAAGTAGCCCTACACTCTAACCTTAAAAACTACACTATATTAAGTGCATGAAGCAATAACATAGCCACTTATTACCACTGTCAAGTATAAAGCATGCACCTTACGCGCTGTATGCCAGCAACACAGTCGGTTGTCTGAGCAGCATGGCCGCAAACGTGTGAGCACTGCCTTGCACTGTGACATTACAATGGCTGTGATGTCACTAGCAAGTAAGAACTTCTCAGCGCAGCACTCCGTCTTGGGGGACCACCGTCGCTGCATGTGGTCGCTCTGGTGTTGAACCAGAGCATGCTGGAGTGCGGTGAGGCGGAACCTTATCTTCGGCAGTCAGCTGTGTGAGACGCTCCCAGGGAAATGCCCCCGAGCCACGCGAGGGAGCGGTGTCCACTGCGCAGGGCGGAGACCTGAGTCGGTCCTGGCTCTCCCAACCGTCACCAGACGCGTGTGGGCTCTCGGGCCTCGAGTTGTCACTCGTGTACAAAATGAAGACAGCAGAAAAGATCATTTCTAAGATTCTTCTGTAGAATTCTCTGCCCCAGAGTAGAAGAAGCCAGTTATATTGCAGGTAAAATGAAATATATTTTGGTACATGGTGATTACTGAAATCTGAGTTTGGCTGCAGTTTTGAATTCCAAGGGTCTTAAGTTTTGACCTGGAGAGAATTTGGTAGGCTCTCTGGAGCTGACTCTCTTCCTCTGCAGTGGGAGTAGTGGTGCCCACATCTCAGCTGCTAGGAGGATTGAATGGGATGAAGATTTGCTAGAACCATTGATGCTGATACTTTTTGCTTACAGTCTCTCGCAGTCTACAGTGGCCATGCCATTCGAGTACTCGATCAGCTCTTCTGGAGCTGGTAGAATTGTTCTGAGCGTGTGTGGTCAGAGGCTCAGAGCTCCCATCATCCTCTAGGTGCTCCTAGAAATGAGAATTGTCTTTGCTGTGGTTCAGGGTGCTCTGGAGTAGATGTTTCAGTTACCCTTCTTCTCAAACAGACTCTTATTTAGTACAGGAGAAAAGAAATGTTATATTCCTGAATACATAAAAAAAAGTTGATTTTGGGTACAATTTAAATTAAAATGTAGCTGCTGTGCACCTTGCCTGTGAAGAAGTGAAGGTAAAAACTGTGTTTAAATCTTACATAAACTGTAGTGCGCCATTTGTAACGTGTGTCCCAACATGCATTATGCTTGTTCATGTACGAATCCAAGGTTACCAAACTTCCCCTTAATCTATCTCGAGGGAGCGTTAATGACAGTTTAATGGGTTTCTTCTGTCTCTTATTTAATGGTTTGATCAGAAAGAATGCTGGCCAGATGAGACTGGGCCACGTTACCAGAACAGGTTTCCTTTCATGTTGTTGGCTTGCTTTCCCTATAGCTCGTTTCTTCACCTGGCTGGGTTTTGGTCACTCAGTTTTCTCGTGGTTTGGTCTCATAAGCCCAACAAACTGGTTTCATTCTTAAGAACCTCCCTGTTGGTATCTGGAATTTGTGGATAGTGGAGGAAAGGACGCTAAGCAATGCGTGGATAGAGATAAAGAGAGAAAATATGGAAAAGGCAGAAATTAATAACTGAAACCCAAAATGCATGCACCAAAATCAACTTTGTGGTTCTAAACCGTAGTGATTGGTAGAAATAAAAAGCTGAAATGATAAACCATCAATACCTTAAGAGCCCAGAACCGTCAGCACCAGGTGGGTAGTGTGCTGTTGTAAGAAGCTGTGTTGTGCTTATTCCTGCTTAGCGTCTGTCTCTGTGTGGAGTGTCAGTGTGTACTTTCAGAGTAGTGGAAAGTTAGTCTGGCCACACACAATTAACACTACCACCGCTGTAGATACTTATAGCAGAAAGAGGGAGAAAAACCGGTAGACAGCAGTGCACAAGGAGCTGTCCCGGAGGTCCCGGGGACTGAGCTGGAGTGTCCTCTGATCTTTTGAGTCCATGCAGGACCAGGCTGTTGATATTCGAAAGCAGATTAAAGCTTTGGGACAGATTTGATCTGTTCTAGTACCAGCTCATTACCGTGAAGAGAAGCAGTCTGAAGGGATTACTGTGGATGAATTTCAGGGCTGCGACTTCATTGACTTGATGGAGAGCTAAGTCGCACACCTTTATAGCTGTAACATGACTGTAAGGATTAATACTTGAAGCCCCTTAAGCCTGGAACCTTCCCAGGTACGTCGTAAGGACACGGATGGGATGGCTATGCCAAGTCAGGGAATGTCGAAACCTGTGAATTATGAAAATAGCATGCATAAGATACCATCCAGATGATTTATTCTTGAGGCCTGTGATGTCTTTAGAGACTCAGGAGTCAGTTTTCTTTGCTTAGTGAAATCTTGAGTTAGCATTTGCTAACTCAGTGCTTTTAAATTAAATCCTGGAGTCAAGCTGCAATGAGGCCCTACCAGTTCATTTAAATGACAGGCGTCACTCAGGTGAGACAGACGTAAGATTACGTGTATGCGGATGTGGGTATCCACTTCTAATACCCCCCTGACACCTCCTGGCCCCTACAGAATGGAACGCAGACTGCTTCCCGAGTGCTGGGCGTTACCTAAGCAGCGCACTACCTCTTTCCTGTCTTGCAACGAAAACCGTTCCTTGTTTACTCTTCCCAGGTGTCCGACAAAGAGCCGGAGTTTGCTGCCACAGCTGCAAAACAGCTCGAGTACCAACACTTTGAGGAGGACAAGCTCTCCCAGAAGTCATCCAGCAGTAAACTCTCCCGCTCCCCGCTAAAGATCGTGAAGAAGCCCAGAAGTATGCAGTGCAAGGTGGTCCTTCTGGACGGCTCGGAGTACGCTTGTGACGTGGAGGTGAGCGTGCGCGTGTGACCTCGAGAGCTGGGGGTGCAGGCGCCTCACGCCCGAGATGTGCTTTTCTTCCTCAGAACACTAGAAAAGTACTTGCGCCAATTTTCTGAATGCAGAATTATTTCTGATATGAGCAGGAGAACAAATCACTAAAAATATTGACACTGTCCCCAAAATACTTACCATTAAAAGTAAAAGATAACTTAATATCTGACACTTTCCATGACAAGAACAAAAAAATTGGAGTCTAAGAAAAGTTAATACTCTGCTATGGACTATTATTTCAATGAATTTTATCGTTTCTCTTTGCATAACTTAGGACCACATCACTTGGTAGAAAGTTACAAATTCTGCCCTGAGTAGAGGTGGTGAAGTAATTTTACATGCTGTGGCCCCTCCTGGTTCGGAGAGCGGGTAGTTTTTTAAATGCACGTGGTGGTGGACATTGAGGTTGGGTTATGTAAAATGGCACCTTTGGGCTGGAGAGATGGCTCGGTGGTCTAAAGCACCTACTTAGAACAAG